ACCATTTTGAATAAGAAAAATCATATAATTTACTATGCCAGGAATCAAAAAATCTAGAGAAATAGCACTGCATTCATCATCAAAACACCAATTACAATATCGATTTTGAAGGTCTTTAATATGTGGTAGGATTATATATATAATCAAGGAAACCAAATAAATACAACTGATATTCAAATTTATGCACCAACCACAAAAACTAGTGATAGGGAAATGAAAGGATTCTACAAGTGATTTCCGTCAGAATTTGATCAAATATGTAAACAGGGTGAATGGATAATTAATGGCTATTGGAATGCAACAGTTGTAAAAACAAAGAAGGAATAGTAATTGGAAAATATGGATTTGGTGATAGAAACTAACCTGGAGATTACACAATGGAATTCTGCAATAACAAATCCCTTTTAAAAACAAAACGGAGGCCACTAAGCATGTAAATTTCACCAGATGGAAACACACGTTTTTCACACAAAGCAGAAAAACAATATTCTTATCTTGTAATATATAAAATTATTGCTACATTCCTTAATGAAAGTATTCTTTATGTGAGAACTAAGGCTTATTAATCAGCAGATAGCAAGTTGCACAAATGAGAAGCAAAAATTTATTTGGCAGATCTATAGGGGTAATACTAATAGTGGATGATACAATATGTGCAACTTGACTTTCAGATTCATGATCCAGTTCTCATACATGAAATATGTTGGTCAGTGAGTAAGAGCATATAGCACATCAAGAGGGCATCCTGAAAACTTGTAAATTGCTGCAGCTCAGGTGCCACATCAAGGCATCTAGAACAGGCCATGCCACTGTTAGGACAGACTGGTGTTAGGCAGGGTTCTCTAGAAACAAAACCAGAAACCTTATGATTATATATATATATGTACAGATAGATGCATAGGTTTATAAAGTGAGAAGGAAATAACAACTAATTAGTCCACACAGCAGTACAGAGGGCTCAGTTCAACTCACTTCCATGGAACCATTAATATACTGGAAGTCCTTCAACTCATGTGGGCTGCAGGGACCAAGGTCAAGGAAGCAGACAATAGAGTTCTCCCCTGGGCAAGGCAGGCAGAGTCTGCCTGCAGGCAGCAAATAGCAGAGTGGGTCATCCAAAATAAGTACCTTTGGAGCTTAGCAAAGCAGGCCCAGATGGGACATGGAACTCAAGCAATGCAAGGCAACAGAATCCACCAGCCTCAAGCTCAAGCGATGTACAAACCAGCAGTGTGGTGAAGCAGGTCTCTAAGGAGCCTCAAGCCCTAGCAACATGATCCATGGATTAGCTTGGTCCACAGGTAGTGTAGCACACAGGCTGAGGCAGAGAACTAGCTAAAGCAGCAGCACGCTGGTCTGATCACCAGAGCAAGAGAGATGTGAGCGGGCCTTGCAGAGCTATTTATCTCTGCCCTCCAATTAATCTGCAGCCTAATTAATCTCACTTGTTTCTATTGGCCAGGTAGGCACAATAAACCTATCATAAAACCAAAACAGCTTAAACTCCAGAGAAAAGAATTGTTACAGGGTTATTATAAGACTTGGATCAGCATGAGTCAATTACTACATCTAATTTGCTGTAAGATGAACTTCCTTGGAGATAAAATATTTTATATAAGATCATAAATTTGAATAAGATATGCATTGGATTCATGGGGGATAGTTTTAATAAAAGCATCATAGGAGAGAAGACAAATTTCTATCAGTAATAAATACTCTAGGGGAGAAAAGAGTGTTGATACTTTCATGAAAAATGTCATCTCGGTGAATTAATCTTTCACAAGAAGGCTGCTCTCTGCCATTGGCCTACTGATGCTACATAGTGGCTGTAGCCAAACCTTTTGGACTGAAATTAATATTGTTGATCTCATTCATAATGTTCATCACCACTATCAGAACAACATTGTACACAAATCCACTAATTAATGACAGAGGAATTTAGAGAAATAAGCTCACTAACAAGCACTGGACAAGTTACATTTTTATCCAAATGATTATATATTTCTCTGATGTGGTTACTCTTAAGTGAGCATTTACTTGAAACACAAATATCTTTACTCTCTGTGAACACCTAAAGGAGTCCATGCACATAACTTTTTCCCAGAGATCTTTGTCACCAACTATACACATAGGTTTCTTCTTATTCTCTGACTAATCAGACATGCCCTTCATTAGTCACTGTCCATACATTTGTATCTACCTGTAACACTGTTCCTCTCTCTTTTTGAGTGAAACAAATATCCATATGCATAAAATCATGCAAAATCTACTGTAAACTAGTCCCCAATTTCTATGTTTTATTAATTGGCCTTAGAGGACACTATAAAAGGACAAACAGATTTGTGTTGGAAGAAGTAAGGCCAAGTGTGCTCCTTAGAGGAAAGTAGAGCACGATTTTGTCTTACATACTTTGTATGGAAAAGGATGTCATGTTTGGTAAAGTGGAGGGGTGGCAAAAAAGAGGGAGGCCCTTGCTGACACAGTGGCTGCATCAGTGGGCTCAGGCATTGTAACAATGGTGAGGACGGTGCAGCACCGAGCAGTTTGGTTGTGCATAGGGTGGCTACAGGTGGAAGCTGACTCAATAACACCTAATAATAACAGCAAGGGGACACTGTTTATGAGACTACAGATATGAGTCAAGAAGGGAAAGGAAATGTAGAAAGAGACTCTATAGTCATCTAATTATATGATGTTTTCATCACATATCAGGATATCCTTGAGTTCTGTTTTGTGGATACAAAGTCTTCCACAAAATGATATAAGGTCACCTTGAGTCAGAGATCACTTAAGATAAATCTTAAATATATTGTGTTGAATTAGAGAATCTAGAGACAAAAGCAGTGCATACTGTAGGACTTGTTTATAAAAAGTAAAAGAAAAAACAAAAGTCGTCATTGGTTATAAAATTTTACATGATGATTATTTCTGTGGGGTTCTTTCTTCTTCTCCCTCCCCCCTGCCCCCAATGCTTACTTGAAAGCACCACCTGGGCTTCCAAACTCTTGTGAGGTGGTTTTATTCTTTCTCGTGGGGTTTGAGTGAGCTGAAAATCGACCATAAAACAACGACTAGAGAGCGAGCAGAAAGTTCGTCCCAGTCTTTCTCTATCACACAACGTAAGCAATGATATGAGACTCTTCCAAGTTCTTCAGAGCTCAGCGAAGATCCAGCCCTTGCCAGTGAGGGGACAAGATGTTAATTGATTACACATGCACAATGGATGCCTTAGGATGTTAGGGCTCACTTCTCTAGCAGAACCCTAATTTTATCATCATTCTTTGTTGGTCTATGGGCGGGTTACTCTTCCTGTACTGGATGTAGCGATGTCAAGTGGATTAGGATTCAGATCCTGGTTCTGCGTACTGGAAAGGTGGCAGAAGGGATAACCCCACTTCATCTCAGAGTAGCCACTGAAAAATGATGATAGAGGTACCTTGGATTTTTTGAGGATTAGATCAAATAGTTCAAAGGTGAAACCTTTCTATTATGTTGTTATATTTTTAGGTGTCATTGAGTCAGTTCCCACTCATCAAGGAAGGCAGACCAGCGAAGGTGGGAACTTTAATTCTATAGCAATGTGCCCATCCCAGTTTCTTTATAAGGGGCATTACGATAGAATTAAAATTTCCTCCATCCTCTGTTTGCCTTCCTCTTTTCTTCCCTCCTTCCCTTCCTTGAAATGTCTAATTGGTTTGGGTTCTGTCTTTATTGTTCATAGTAATCTCGATATTGGCATGGTTTTCCGTTTAGACTTTTCTGGGATTTAGTGGAAGAGTTAATACCCATCTCTGACAACTCTAAATAAGATGATGTGGAGTTCACTTATATTTTATCACACCCTCCTTCAGCCTCCCACCACCATCTCTTATTACTTTTTGAAGAAATTCTTCCATTCTTTCATTAGTAGGTTATGCATGTGTGCCAACTGATAGTATTAGCAATTTTGTATTTACTTTGTATAGATTTGCTTGGTGTTTGAAAATGATTAACATTTATTTTTTCTCTTTTTTACCAAACGAAATTGCAAAAGCATACTTGTGGCATTTATGGAAGCAAAACAAGGGGAATTTTTGAAGAGATAAAATGTTCTATATCATAATTTTTTATTTAAAGTTATTATAAGAGAGTACCAGAGTCTGTAAACAAGTACTAGACATTGAGCGTTAGGTTGTTTTTGTTGTTGTGATTAGGTGCCGTCAATTGGGCTTGGACCTATAGGACCCTACCCCAGAATGCAGTGCTGCCTGCTCCTGGGCGGTCCTCACAATTGCTATTATGTTTGAGCTCGGTATGGCAGCCATTATGTTGATTCTCTTGTGGGGTCTTCCTCTTTTTAACCCACTGCTTTACCCAGAATGCCGTCATCATCCAAAAAGTCGTTTCTTCTGGTGACCTGTGCAAAGTCCTTGAGAGGAAGTCTCGCCATCCTCAATTCCTTATTCACTTTCAAGTTTTCATATTAAATATACTATTAGTTGAGCCTGACACACAACACTTCTCAAAGTGACATCTTGGTTTCTTCATACTTTAAAGAGAACTTTTGAAGCAAATTTGTCCAGGGCAGTACACATTTTTATTTCTCGACTGTGACTTTCATGAGCTTTGATGGTGGGTCCAAGTGAAATTAAATCCTTGACAATGTCAATCTTTTCTTCATTTATCATGATGTTGACTATTGCTCCGGTTGTGAGGAATTTTGTTTTCTTGGCATTGAGTTTTAATTCATACTGAATGTGAATAAACCTCCTTCCAATGTTGGTGGCAAATTCTTCTTCATATAGTCCATTTCTTGGATTATTTGCTAAACACACAGATTGAATAAGTATAGTGGGAGGATACAAATCTGATAGACCCTTTTCCTGATTTGAAAAAATGTCTCCCCTTGTTCTGTTTGAACTACATTTTGGCTTATATAATGTTCCACCTGAGAATAAATTAATATTTTGGAATTCCCATACCTTGTAATGTCATCCATAGGGGTTTAGTTTTGTTTTTTAATGATAGACACAGTTGAATGCCTTTATTTAGTCAATAAAACACACATAAATCTCTCCCTGTTCTCTGAATTCATTTAAATTCATCTTATGTAGGTAATGACATACCTTAGTCACATCTTCATGTGGATTCAGATTGAATTTCTGCTGCGATTTTTTTGTATTTATCTTCAGCAAGATTTCACTTGCACATTATTTTAATGATAATATTTGATTCCACATTTTGGGGGCTACATTACTGTCATCCAAGTTTCTTGGCATAGATTAGTGAGTGCTTTCAGTGTTGCATCAGTGTGTTGAAACATTTCAACTGGTATTTCATCAATTGCTGAGTTGTCAGTGGACAAACAAAAATCAGCAGAAGTGCACATAAAATGAGATTTACACCTATTATTTTATAGAATTATAATGAGCCCTATTGGTGTAGTGGTTATGCATTGGACTACTGACTGCAAGGCCAGCAGTTCAAAAACCACAAGCTGCTCTGAAGGAGAAAGATGAGAATTTCTACTCCTGTAAGGAATTACAGTCTCCTAAACACACAGGGACAGTTCCATCCTGTCCCTACAGGGTCACTCTGAGTTAGAATTGACTAGATAGCAGTGAGATTTATACACTTACTATAAACCTATCTAAAATTTAAACAAAAGGAAACCTGGGGGGGAAAGACTACTTCCAATAAATGTATATAAATAATTTAGGAATAAGGAACATGTCAAACCATATGTTAAGAATAAAAGTACACACAATTTTAGATTGAAGTCAGTTATGTAACTAGTATTATTTAGTAATTAAAATATATATAAATATAATTTTAACCCAGTGTGTATGCTTCTTATAATTATTATAACAAGTGTGCAAGAGTCTTCATATAAGATACATTTTTAAGTTTTATCATTTTAATTGTGAGAAAATAAGGTAAAGTTTATATTCTTTTAGTTATTGGTAAAGCAATGGAAATAAAAATAAAGAAAATATTAATATTGGTAGTCAGGTTTAGCTAGTGGTCTGGATGACCTATCCTAAAATGTACCACATGATCCATTCCACTTGAAGTCTGGGTGACTCATCCCAACACCACGGAGGGGGGATGGAGAAAAAGGGGGGGGTTTGAGAGTGAAATGATAACGGAGAGAACAGGGCATTAATCGACCCAGGGGGGAAGTACTGGTCTTGTCTCCACAGAACCTGGAAGGGTCATGCAGACCCTACCATGAAGTACCAAGCCATGAGGACAGCGTGGTCACATGGAAGGATGGAAGGATGCATGAAAAGAAAGCTACAGGGCTGGCCCTAAACAGAGCCAAACTGACCCCCTCCCTGGAAGTGGGTGTGGCAGACAGCAGG